GTTGTCTGACAAACACACAAAAAAAAAACATTTTGTCACATCACATGCGGCTTCGTTCAAATGAATTTATCAGTTTACAACTACATTATGCTTATATACAAACAAGAGAGCCAAGCACAGAGGTAAATGAGTTGTCTTTGCACACAGCAAACTGTCCATGGTGATTTATGGCTCATGCCAACACAGAGACGTCACTAATTTGCTGCTCAACTTGGCTTGAATGCAAATTCACTACCTACCTTGATGCTGAGATCCTTGCCAGACCTCAGGTACTGTTTGCTCGTTTGCTTTATATCCAAGTCCCAGTAATGTCTCAATAAGGTTAAATTCATAAGAAAGGAGGAGTACAAGCTCTAAACAGCAGTATCATTACAACAAGATGGAGATCCAAAAGTTTACTGGTTAAATCAAGAGTGAGGGTTTGTGATATCAGTAAGGTTTGTTTGGTTATATCTCTAGCAATACATATCAAACATGGGAAATAAGTCAACTATGGAGCTTTTAAGGGTGTTTTTCTGCACTAATGTGCATATAAAGTGTGGTTTGAACTATAAATTGTGTTATTTTTCTCTCTTATAGAGTGTTACGTTTTTCAGTCACAATGACTAGATTTAAAAAAGATGGACTTCAATCAAATTCCACCCTCCTCCAGACTGCCAAGGCACTCTGCTATAATTGTTCCAGGAGTTTATCTTCAGAGAAAATTGTTGATTAGCAATTAGAGTTGACCTTGGAGAAGTAAATTTCTAGGTTTCCTCACATCAGCATCTAACTCTAAATTGATTTGATCTCTGCACCTCGTAGTTAACTAAGCATGTCAAATGCAAGAGGCTGAAATCTGCAAACACCCACGCGTACCTTTCACAGTCGATGCTTCTGCGAAATACAAACACATACAGCTTCGGATCAACATTTACCTGATTTATACACAGTCACAGTTCATAATGAGGTTCCGCTGGTACGCATACACACACACAGAACATGCTGCAGTCCCACCAGAGACTGGTCTAATGAGCTGGTGTGATGCATAGGAAGCTTCTTGCTGGAATGTCAATGAGGGCCTATTAGCAACAAATAAGCTTGGAATATTGCTACCAGGCTGTCTGACATTTTCAAAGGACGTGAGCAGAATGGCAGGCCGGCATCGGCCACCGTTCAACATCAAAAGTTAAACAATCTGAAGGATGATTTAGGTGAATTTAGGTGAACTAGGGGGAGATCATTTGTAGCATTAGCCTGTTTGTAGAGTTCATTCTAAATCAAGAAACACTTTTTATTTTTTCCATCAGGAATTAAATTTTTATGACACAAGTACTACATTGGCATAGAGCTTATTTTCTAAATTCAACCAGCGTAGTGCATGTAGGTGGTGCTTGATCTTTGCTTGTCACTGTTAAAGCTATGCAAATTTGTTGAACGTTATTACTGACATGACCACAAGAGATCTGATTTCCTAAAACTGTATTTCTGGATAAATCAGATTTCTGCAAAACCTCTGGATGGCTCACTGCCTCCGTTGTTGATTCAGCAAGTCTTCGCTAGGATTAGCTCATGGAAGCTCTTTCTTTTGCATATAAATGTTTAGAGGTAGCTGTGGGAATATTCCAGAAAAGGCAACAATCAGCTTTACTTTGTTCAGGTGTTTTAAAATAATCGATTAAAATTAAAACTTCTCTTTAAAGTTGAAGAGTTTCACCAAAGTGGGTGGAGCCAAGAGATGCTGAGGGGCGTGGCCAGATGTGTGGGGATGAGCAGAGAGGGTTAAGCCAAGTTGTAGTCAGGACTGTTGCCAACTTAGCAACTTATGTTGCTATATTTAGCGGCGTTTTAGACACCTCTAGTGACTACTTTGCAAAAAGCGACAAATCTAGCAACTTTTTACTTTTACAACAAAGACTATTAGTTCACGTTTTAAACTGGGTTTTAAAATTGTTCTAACCTAGCAGTGATGATTAGCATAAGATACCATTTTTGTGTTTTTCTGAAACTTTACATTTACAAGCATGTCCTGTTTTGGTGGGGTTTCTTTTTTTTTTAGGTGACAACCTATTGTACAAAAATCGGTTGCATTGTAAACTTGTGGTTATAACATCAAAACATCCAACAATGCTGCTGTACCTGCTATAGTGGCTTTCCAGAACCCTGCAGTATTAATTATCGACGTTCTTGTCACCTCAGAACACCAATAGTGCTGAAGTAGCAAAGCGAGAACAAACACACACACACACAAACACACACAGTAACTCTTGGCTTTTTTCCACCCAGTATTTTCCAACCTTTTAGTTTAGCAATGAGCCACTGGACTAAATGATACACTCAGCAAACATTTATTTATTTTGAAAGAAATTAATGAGGGCAACATTACTGCATATACTTTATACTCACAAGTCATGCAGTAAAGTCATGATAAAAATAAAATTTCACTCCTATTGTTTCATCTGGTCTTTACTGGCTTGTAAAATTAGCTGAATCTAATCTTCAATTCATAAAACCTTGTCAGTGTCACAGAAAATTAAATTAAACAAAAAGATGAAGACAAAACAATAAAGTTTGTGTAAAAATAAGTTCACCTCAAAAAACATGAATTTCAACAAAAGAAATTTGTTGAAATTCATGGTAATGAATTCAAGAATTCATTACAATGACTGTATTTCCATTTAGAGTAAATTTCAAATCTTAATTTGCCAGGATTGTGAATCATTTTTAACTGTACATATATTGCTAACGTTACATAACTAAAGCATTTGTTAGGTTGGTCTAATGTTGCTTTCTTTTCATTTGATCAAAATGGGGCTCCAGCAAATTATTTATTTACCATAATACTTGAAGTAGGCCATACAAATACAGATGCTCGTACTTTTCAAAAAATGTTTTTCACAATAAGCACAAATGTATATCACTTGAATATATCCCATTTCTTCTGGTGTGTTTGTTTTTAACTGCAGCTTTGTAGCAACATCTGAAATGACATAAAATTATGTAACATATAACCTATCGCTACTATTAACATGTTGTGTTTTGTACATGTTCTTCAGTTAGCTTCTGTGAGTAAAATTCAACAATTCGCAACAAATTTAATAAAGCACAATGTAGTTAAACAATTACAACAATAATCTATACCCATGGATCAAGCTGTTGTGCTCAGTTGAAGCTGAAATTGAAATATTACATTTGATTAACTTCAGAAACTTAATGCAACTTACTAGTCCAAGGCTTTTAAAATCATCCAGCAATGAAAGCCATAGTTTACAGTCACATTAATAGTTTAGTTTCTTCCTTCATGACTATTTTGTACTTCAGTAATTCCAAATAGATCAATGTGGGCTCTCAAAAAGCACATTATGTACTTTATGCACTACTAAGACCAATATTATTGGTGATGAAAGCTCTCCAGACTAGTTTAGTTGATGACATGATATGATTAACATTTTGCAATTTGCTCTCACCAAGCTATAGTTCTTCTGGAACAGAGATCCATCATTGTAGAAGATGTGAGAAAGACAACTTTTCCCCACCGCAGCATCTCCTGTACATATAGGAATAAAAAAAAGGACTTTATTTAAACTACATTGTCAATCGTGATTTATTTTTTTTTATGTTTTTGTTAACAGATAAATATTCACTAAGTGATTTAGATGTGTTTTATACATTAACTGATTACAATAGATTAAATGTTTAATTGTCTTTTCAGATATTAGGACATTAAGTTAAGGATGATAAGCAATTATCCTTGGCTAAATCAGGACAAGACAGATGTTTTTAAATAATGATTTTTCAGTAAAACTTGGAAAGTTTGTTTTATGTTTTTGCTATTTACATCACATTTTAACAAGAACACATTAAGAACACATTTGATCAACTGCTGTTGCATTTGTTGCTGTACGTCTTAAAATTGACTTTTCTGTCTTTTAAAATCTTTGCTATCCTGCAGATGATTTTTCATTGTGTGTGAAAAATGCTTGGAAACGTGGATACTGACAATAAACACTACATCTAGCTGGCTGAGAGTCCAACATAATTTCCTGTAATGTTTTTAGTTGGATTTAACCAGCAAATTGGAGGAACAGCAAACCGTAGCTAGTATATGATAACACGTAGATAAACAGCTGAGCTTTAGGGTGTATTTAATAAAGAAGAAGCAGATGTTTGCCTGTTCATTGGCTTTTAGCCCCTGTGTGAGGGTTGTAAGACAGCGTAAACTCGCAGTTAAACTTCCACAAACCTTACCGAGAAGCAGACATCTTGCCCTCAACTTCACCATTATACGGCGTACATTCGAAACCTCGTGAGAAATGTGTTAAGCTTCTGTTCATAAATGAAATAGCATTCCTGCTAGCTGCTTTAATCTTCCATTCGCCTCGGCAACATGGACAAAACACGTTTCCTAGCAACCGTTCCCAGTAGCGACTCATTGGTCCACTCAGCCAGCACGTAAGTGGCTATATCATGTTCTCATTGGCTGCTTGTGATTACATGGCATAGTTCCCCTGAAGAGGTCTTGTAAGGCAGAGCGTTTGTAAACAGAGAAGAAAAGCATATCAAACTTTTCTGGTGTGTGCGGCTCAGTTTCCGCCATTTCCATGTATGCTAACCAGCTAACCAAGTGTTGTCAATATGGGCTGTTTTAAACAAAGTATGCATAAACCAGTAATTAAAATAGAAGAAGTCCATATTGAAGCAAAGAATAATATGACCACTAGAGGGCAGAAAAATGCACCATAAATCACTCAATTACAGTGAGATGCATACTTTTGTCTTTTTAATGTGATGGAGCAGTGTTACTGTGTGCTTTAATTAGATATAAAGAAAGCAACTGTTTTCTATATGTTTCAAATGTAACCGGTGTGGCATCATCCCAGGGGAAAGAGCTCTTTGAATTCGAGCCACCTAAAGCAGCGCGTGACTACTTATGATCCTGTGAGCAGGGGCGCGTGCCCTATAAACATTTCTGCTTGCTCACGGGGCCAGTGTGTAGAGTGGGTGCGCGCTCCCGTAGAAATAACACGATTCGCTCAAGGCGTGACGACCGAAGCGCGTTCACGTGGCGGGGTAATACAGCATCATCAAAACACTGAAACACACCTCCATCCAGACAGCTCAGCTCCTAGCCGGAATAAACAAAAACACAAAGTAAAGACAAACGAAGGAGAAGAATATTGCGCGCTCGAAAGCTTTTAATTTTTATTTTTATTTTTTGCATCCATCCGGAGCAGGATTGGGGGAATTTTTCCGTGTCGACTACCCGGTGGTTCTCTACACACACACACACAAACACACACCTACCTTGTGCCTTTGAGAAGAAAAAAAAAACACACACACAGCGGGGAAGGAGACGGGGATCATCTGAGAGGCGGCTGTCTAGAGAGGAGGTGGAGGACAATGGAGGGGATGCAGGCATACGGAGCCGGGAAAGCCGGGGGAGCCTTCGACCCTGTCACCTTCCTCCAGCAGCCTCAGACCATTCTCCGCATCGTGTCTTGGGTAAGCAAAACTCAGAGATGACAGATGTGAAAAGTGGGATTTGTTATGGCTGTGCATGTACGGCGTTGTGTAGGCCTTGTTTGGTGAGTTGTTCTAAAACGTTTTTTTTTTTTAAATAAATAAATTCTTTTAAAACATTTTTTATCAAAGACACAAATAATGTCCTTGCCACCATTTTTATAACGTTGTTTTTGTTCGTTTTGGTGTCAAGGACAAGCGACTATATTTTCAGTTTACATCTTTTCCTGTACACATAGGCTGTTGTTGCTGTAGTATCCCATTGTGTAAGACTTCTAGTTTAGTATTAATATTTAATATGATTACATTTAAACTGAATAAACCGCTTTCAGAGTTTTTGTTTTTCTAATAGCTGGCACTGTCAAAACCACCGAGGAGCAGCACTAATCAAAGGGCTGCAACAGTTGGGGAAACTTTTAAAGATGCTCTTTAGGTCAGCAGCCAAAAGAATCTGAACTCAGCAATCCTTTTTCATTTGATCCAAGGTTTTACTGGTCATTTCTCACAGTAAGTTGCTCTTAATCTTAAATGATGTGTGACACAAAGGTTTATTTTCCACTATAAATAAACTCTGCTAATTTAAAGAATTCATTGGTTTGTACAAAAGAGCTTCATTGAGTTCATCCTTCTAACCTTGCTCATGAATTTCTGAAGTTGATGTTTTTTAAAAAAAAAAAAAAGAGAGAGAGAAAAAAAGAACTCTTTGAAGTTGTCCTCCTAATTTCTTTATGTTTTGGTAAAATCTCATGTGAATGTGACGTGAAGTTCCTTATCATGTTGGCCTTGGTTTTGTAAATCTTTCAGCTTTATGAAAGTTGCATGCCTTCAAGCTGTTAACTTGTTACCCATGAATATCATGTGAGGCTAAGTCATGGGGTTACCCACTGAAGCATAACATAATCATACCTGATTTTCCCCAGTCACAGGGTGACGCTTTTTGCTGTAGTTGTGAGTATGCCGTATAAATATCACATATTTTAGTCAGAACTTTGCACCTGATTAATTTGAGAATATGTCTTGGAAAGGCCCTTTAAAGAGGGAAAGGCCCTTTAAATAGGGCTTCTATCGCCCTTCTATCGCTAACATGTTAGCGAAAAGAGATAAAATGTTCAAAAATCTTTGCAAGTCAAAATTTTGCAAGTGTGACGTACACGTGGTTTTAGACACTTTTAAACTGATTCCCTTAAAAAAAATAAAAATCTGCTACTGTAGTAGCGATGCAGCATGTAAATCCTTTACGACAGGAAAGCAAGAACAAAAAGCCGATTGACTGATATAAAAGCAAATTTTTAAACAATTTTATTCAGTAATTTTTTGTTTATTTTTAAGTGGACAAAGTGAGTGAAAAATATCTTTAAAATCAGATATTGGATTTGGCATTAAAAAGAAATGCTCAGATTTTTTCATTTTTAAATTATGTCGCCCAGCCCAACTAGCACGTCTTGTAACTTCAAGACAGAGTGGTACTGTCTATTAAACAATAATAAATCTTTGATTTATCATGTCAAGTTGTTCTAATCTGGATACTTCCAATAAAGAATAACAATAATGGATATTGTTATATTTGCAATAAATGATTGCAGTCTTTACTACTAAAGACTCTTTAGTCTTTACTGTTTCTGTAAAGTCTTTCTCTGCAATATTCTAATTATTTGATTTGTATTTTTTTATCAAATTAATTCATTATTGATCCAAAAAAAATTGTTAAAAAAATGATTAAAATTTTTCTAATTAAACTATCTCTATTTCCCGTAGAGTTCAAAGTTTTATTTGATGAGTTATCAGAATGTAAACAGCTGATCATTTTACCAGACATTTTGCTGTTTGTTGTTATTAAAACGCATTAACGGGGGTCAGAAAAAAAAAAGTTTTTAATCAGGCTCACATATAGGTATGCAGTCTTCAAATGCACCGCCCCCAAAGTGTCACCGGAGCAACAACACATCTCCATGGTAACAGCCACGGGCGGAGTTGTGGTGTTTTGAATTGATAGTCTGCTGCAGCGTGTGGGGGAGGAAGCTGTCTGTTGTTTGAATGTCCCTGGACTGAGGACATCAAACAGGGACGACCAGAGCAGTTTATGAATGGTGGTGGAGGGTTGTCAATGTCCCACTTGTTGGCCATCATGGGAGCTGACTGCGGAGGTGATAATGAGTGTGTGTGTGGGTGTGTGTGAGGCATGTTGTGATCCACGGCAGAGTCGAGGAGCAGGGAACACAGTGACAGATGGAAAAGAGGGTACCCTGCGTATGATCGGAGCCTTAAATGAAGATCAAACCAAACGCCGCCAACCTGACTTAACAAGCAAAGAGAAAGTATTTTCGCCTCAGATTTGACTTTGATCTGCGTTCAGAAAGAACTCCGCTGCTGTAGCTGCTGATATTCCCCCATCTTTTTTTCTTTTGTTGCTTTGAACAGAGTTCCTGAAATTCTGCCAGCAGGAGCAAAACATTATAAATGTAAATGGGATGTTCAGTTTAGCTTTGTGCTCGAAGTGTTTTTATACATTAACCCAGTGCAGCACAAAACGTAGCGCACGACTGCTTCAACTGCTTAACTTCACTTTTCAAAAACAAATACACAGGAAGTTTAGTGTTTGGTATTTTTAACTACTGCATCTAAAGCTTAGATAAATGACCTTGAACGTGTTACAGTCCTTAAGAGCAAAATCTAGTTATATGAGCATCGCTTAGCTAGCAAGGTACACCAAGATTTTCAAACTACTTTTGTTTTTTTAAGAAACCAACACAGCACCTTACCCTCCTGTTACTTAGCACTATATGGCCAGCCAGCAGGTTAGGTAACCAGACACTTTGACATATTAACAAGCTATTTTCAGCTTTACTTCCTGTTTTAATCAGTTTGTTTTGTTTATTATAAATCCTGTAATACGGTGAAACTTTCGAGTTAGCAAACTCTAAATCATCTGTTACCAGTGCGTAATGCGGCCATAGATCTATTTCTCAGTAAAATTATTATTCTATTTTTCACATTTCTCACAAAATGTGTGACATGAAAATAATCTGCAGGTCAGCTTGTAATTTGCCAGCTGTAGTTTAAAAACAGCGTTTCTTTGTATGAGTGGAGCGTTTTCCCTTTCCAAAACACAACTGTGTACTTATGGGAGTTGAAATGTTACTACTAAGCAGCCAAAATGCTCTTTTCCTGTAAGTATAGTGAAATATAGTAGCCACATTTCAGCCAGTTGATAGGCAGTGCACAGCAACAAGTGGGGAAAGGGCAGCACTGTTACTGTTCTGGCTCCATACGGCCAGAAAAACATCCGTTCATCTGAGGATTCTTTTAGACTACACGTTTTAAACGTCACACTTGTACACGTCCATAAACAGTTGTGATGTCACAAATTCCTATTACTGGTAGCATAACAATTTATTATCTGATGCCAAACTCCAAATACTTGCTTTTTTTCACTGACTATCCAAGGAACGCCACTTAAAATACATATATGTATATTTTTAAACTTAACACTATGATATCAGGCCTCATTTAAAGTAACACGAGTTAGCATTTAAATTTTAGCAGGGACTAGCGTTTTAGATATTAGGAGACACTGATTTTTGCAGCAACACAGACAAAAATTGGGCAGTGTGGAACATTTTCTCAGCAGCGTGTTAAACCAGGAGTGGACTCACACTCCTGTCTGTAAGCAAGTCAGAATTCAGACGTCCTTTCAGTTGTTTGGTCGTACTGTGAATACATACCCACTTGGATCTGCTGTTATTAGTCAGGCATCCACATAATTTCAGCTGTTAGTCATGAATAACACAGCAACAATCAGTTTGGTGTGAATCTGGAGTCACTGAACATTTAGGAATGTAGCGGGTCGATGTCAATAACACCCTAAACGTCTGTGAGTGATATGGATCAGAGCCAGTTATTACCAACTTTTGTGGTGAACCTAAATGCATCCTTTACCCAATAGACACATATGCAATTACACTTACTGTTTTCAGTTTGTCAGTGCCTGTTGGACAAGCTTATCTTGCCATTGATCCGTTTGCACCTGACAACAAAGCAATAAATCTGAATCTCATTTAGCATGTGATAATTATAGTTTGACTTGTAAAGACACATCCAGCTCATGAGACTAAAAAACCAAAAATAAAATGCAATGTAAAGAATGGAATTAGCATAAAATATTCTCACCCAGGTTGAAAAAAACCCCCACGCTTTTAAATCTCCCTTTTTGTGTTTCCACAAACAGAAAGAAAGGTTTTTGTTAATCTTAATGTCTGAGTGTAGAAATGTCTAACTCAGGTTTTATCAGCCTAACTTATTTAGAGATCGAACCAGAAATGATCACATACATCCAGAGACATTCAAAAACTGTGAAATACTGATTCCTTTTACGGTTTTGAAAGTTTGCCTGAGTTCACGCGTTGTGGCGTTTATATTGATGTGTACCTTGGTGTAGTGTTTTCTGAAAATGAACCCTCACAAGCTGCGTTTCTATTGATCATTTAGTTGCTCGATTTGACATTTTAAAAATAGATTCACTTAACGGAAACACAGCAATGTTGGAAAAAAATCTCCAGTTTTTTGATAAAAAGTGTTGGTGCTAGCATGAATAAGTTGGTTTATTTAGCAAAACTGTAAAGGAAACACTTTTTCAATAACCAGATGTTGCTACTGGCGCAAACCACAACAAAAGAAAACAACAGGAAGTAGTCAGAGGACTACGGCATGGCATGTTCTTTAGTGATTTGAAGAAACATATTCACATGTGATTTTAACTGCGTTTCTTATTTTGTTTTTAGACATTAGCGGAATAAATAATGTTTATTTTTCTACCTCTCTGTGTTCTTCAGATTACATAAACATGGCCACATTATTTGGTGTTGTTGATCACAAAGGATCTTTGACATCTTTGTTAAGAAGCGCTGAAATGGTGCATTTAAATTTGATAATGTTCTGCATTAGGTTGCCCAACACCACAGGCTTGTTTAGGCTGATTTTTGATA